AAGAAAAGGAGGAGGAGGAGGAGGAGGAGGGACGGGAGACAACACCCCCGCGCCAGTCCGATCGAGGGGGCGCTCCTCTTGATGGCAGACGCCGCCGGCTGCGCCCTCACTGCGGCTACCCCCGCGGGGCCAGGCGTCCGCGCCGGAGGCCATGCCGCTGGGGCGGCATGCGGGCCGCTGGCGCGCCCTGCACTGGCCTTGAGATCCTGGCGTCGCGATTTTGTTCGAGCCAGACCCCCTCGTGTTGCCTCCTCCTTCTCCTCCTCTTCCTCCTCCTCCTCCTCCTCTTCCTCCTCCTTCTCCTCCTCTCCTCCTCCTCCTCCTCCTCCTCCTCCTCCTCCTCCCCTCCCCTCCTCCTCCTCCTCCTCGTCCTCCTCCTCCTCTTCCTCTTCCTACTCCTCCTCCTCCCCCTCCTCCTCCTCGTCCTCCTCCTCCTCCTCCTCGCGTTGTGAAAAAATCACGCCAGGGCCCCTACCAGGCCTCGGGAGCGTCAACAGACGACTCGGGATGAAGAACCCGTCCCTAGGGAAGAGGTTCAGACCTCCGGGGGTCGACTTTGCGAAAAAATCGCTACGTCGGGGGTCTGGGACTGCTGGGAGGTCTTCGCCGGAAGGTTTAGGGAGAATGAAGCCCCATTAGGGGGCTGCAACGCCAAATTAGTCCGCGGATTCAGCGGGATGAAACCGGACTCAGCAGGATTAAGCCGGATTTTGTGGGATTAAGCCGGGTAAGGCGGGATCAAGCCAGATTAAGCCAGATTTCGGACCAAGGCAAAGTCAGAGTTCGACCTCCCAGGAAATGCATCCGAAGTTGTCGAATCGTTTTGGGCCCCTGGGACCATCAAAGATCGATCCTGCTCGAAGAGTGCAGTAGAAAGATGGGATGCTGCAGTGTCTGCAGCGTCAGATCTACAGGGAGCTGGAGCGTGCGAGCGGCCTGATCACAAATGTATCTGGAACGGAAGACTGTCCCCGGGAAAGGGGTCGGGACCTCTGGGGCGTGGCATTGAAGAATCTCATCGGCGGATGGCTGGGACTCGCGAGCGGCGCCTCCCTCGGCGAACCTGAGCTTAGCAAGGCGCCCCATTCCCCTGGGACCATCGGTGCATACGACAAGCTCGTAAGTGGGCTTGCAGGCAGGCCATTCTCTTGTCGCTTTCTTGTTCTGCCTGCTGCATCTGCCCTTCTTTCCATCTTTTTGGGCGTCTCCTTTGGGAGCCGTGATCGCCACTCCCAGGCTCACCTCGTTGTCCTTCTCTTTTTCGTCTGGCCAGGCTCGCCCGTATCACCTTCCAGGACATGACCAGCGCCCCGGTTGCCTGCGAGAGAGAGAGAGAGAGACGTCGACGACGATGAAATCGGCGGCGCCGTCGGAGCCGACAGCGACGAGGGGATCAGGAGGGTGAGTGGAAGGAGGGGGGAATCCTGGGAAGGGGGAAAGAGGATGGGGAGGGTGAGGGGCGATGAGGGGGGGAGGAGATGGGGGAGTGGATGGAGAGGATGACGGGAGGAGGAGGAGGAGGAGGAGGAGGAGGAGGAGGAGGAGGAGGAGGAGGACGAAGGGGAGAGGGGAGGAGGGGGAGGGAGAGGAGGCAGAAGAGAAGGGGGAGGAGGAGAAGGAGGAAGACCACGACGAGGAGAAGGGGGAGGAGGAGGAAGAGGAGAAGGAGGAGGAGGAGAGGAGGATGAGGATAAGGTGAGGATGAGGAGAAGGAGGAGGAGGAGGAGGAGGAGGAGGATAGGCAGGAGGGGTGGAGAAGGAAGGGGGCGGAGGGGGCATCTCTTGGTAGGGAGAGCGGGCTGTGAGGAGGGGGCTCGCCGTCCTGGGATCCCATCGTCCGTGCTTTCCCAGAAGCCTCGGAAGGCCTCTGGTCTTCTGAGAAGTTTTCTGGGCCTCCTCCGAGGACAGAGACGACCTCTCAGCAGGCCGCAGGGTTGCTGCTCAGAAGCCCCGCCGCCTTCTGACAAGGCCTGACTCCCTCTCCCCCTCCTCCTCCTCCTCCTCCTCCTCCTCCTCCTGCTCCTCCTCCTCTGCTCCTCCTCCTCCTGCTCCTCTTCCTCCTCCTCCTGTTCCTCCTCCTCCTTCTCCTCCTCTCCTCCTCCTCCTCCTCCTCCTCCCCTCCTCCTCCCCCTCCTCCTCCTCCTCCTCCTCCTTTCCTCCTCCGGGCGCGCCGCCGAACCTTGCCACCATTCCTCTCGCGCTCTGCCCCCCCGGCCGAGCACCACCCGCGCGTGCGCCGCCGCGGGCGGCTCGACGTGGGTCGTGGACGGGTGCGCCGGCGCCGCCGTCGAGAAGGGCAGGGGCGTGGTGGAGGCGACCTGCCCCTTCCACATGTTCACTGCAGCCGCCCCCCCCTCCTCCTCGCTTGCTCGCTCGCCCCATCGGGCGTACGATGAAGAGACAATGCCATAGAAACACTCTCAAACGACCAGCACAAGAAACGCTGAATGCGGCCGGACCTGGGATAGAAGAATCCTGAGACCTTGGCGTCTCGACCTTTTTCCGAACCCGGCGTTTTCGCATCATTTCTGGTCCTGGGGCCTTCACGGATCAATCCCGCTCCAACCATGGCGCAGAAAGATGGGGTCTAGGGTTCCGCCCGTGATTTATCACAGTGTATGAATTTGTTCGTTTGTCGGATCTCACGGAACATCTTTCAAGAACATGAGACCCTCACTGAAGAACATTCGAGGGCACACTCCCCCAGGATGCACAAAAACTTCCAACAGACACGAACAACTAACATAAAAGTGCCCTCCCTGGACCGACCTTCTTCTTAAGCCTCGAAATGGCCCCCAAAAGCGCCTGGGTGCACCCAGTTTTTTTCTTGGGTGTTCCCCTAGCCGCCGCCCACGGACACCTAGTGACCGCGCCGTGCCTTGCATGGCGTCTTCTAATCTCACCATCCAATGCAGGCTATAGGTTCCGTTGTTATAGAGAAGTGTTAGTGAACGTTGAACTTTATGCAGTGTGCCCCTACCAATCGATGTGGAGCGATGGATGTGGACAAACACGCATGTGGTACAATGTGCTTGGGGCGATGTCTGTGGTGTTATCGACGTGGTGCATATCGTGTTGTACGTTATGTGTGCAATCTACGATGTACAAATAACTTCTGCTCGCAGGGGGGTGTCTCCCCCACGCCTCGCGCAAACATCCCACCAACCCACCCGTAGCTCCATTTGCAAAAGCCATGCGGCGGCGATTGCCACGAGTGCTTGGCGTTGGCTGGTGCGTCCCTTCGGCCGCGCTAGCCGGCGCATGCTCGCGCGCGAAGCGGCCAGCTAGTACGGCGCGACCGATGCGGCCGCGGTGGCGCTGACCGCTGGGCACATACAGCGGGCACTTCAGTGCGACTCGGTGATTTGGCGGGCGCGGTATCATGGCGACGCCGACAGCGGTAGACACAATGATGAAAGTAGCGGTGACGGTGGCGATGGTGGCGATGACGACGGAAAACCGATGACGGCGACGATGTTGATCACGCCCGCCGACAACGATGACGATGTCCTCGCGTCGGTGATGAAGGTTTTGGAAGGGGTTCGCCATGCGCGCGCGACCGACGCGCGCGAGTGGACCGCGTGGAATTATGTGACGCGGATCGTGCCCACGCGCGCAATGGCATTTGGATGAGTTCGGCATGCAGCGCGAGAGGCCCACTTGGCAGACGTTGATGGCAATGCTGGACAAACCATGGTATTGTTCAAACTCGCAAAAGCGTGCGCGCACGTTTTTTTTGTTCGGGAACTGGTTTTGTAAAGTCTGGTATGCGTTTGGCTTGTGTTCGTGGCGCTCGCTTTCAATTGTCCATGAAACCTAAGTTTTTGCAACTGGAATTCCCGAAGTTACCAGCATGCGCGCGCGACGACGCGCGCGTATGCACTTCGTCCCCCCATCGCTCGCAAGAATTTATGAAACAAAAACGGCTGGTTTGTGATAAACGAACGCGCGCGCAGAATACCTTTAGCAAGGGATTCTTCGAAAATGATGATTTGCAATAAACGAGCGTGCGCAATCTTTTTTTGCAAAGGATGGTAGGGAGTGTAGCTGGCCTTCCTGCGATGATCTGAACTCATACTTCGGATGGCTGATGGGGCAGGGTCAACTTTCAATTGCAATACGAGAAGCGGGGCGGTTAAATCCGGAGGGGGGTTTTAATACTCTTTTTGGAAAAAATACTTCAGCTCGCAATGCATTGCCCACTCCACTGCTCGTACCAACATCCCACCCACCCACCCGCAACTTAAATTTGCAAGCTCGTACGACGGCGATTGCGACGAGTGCTTGGCGTTGGTAGGTGCATCCCTGCGGCCGCGCTAACCCGCGCATGCTCGCGCGCGCGCAGAGGCCAGCTAGTGCGGCGCGGCTGACGCGGCCGCGGTAGCGCTGACCGCTCGGCACTTCCTAGCGGGCACTTCCGTGAGAGCCGGCGACTTGGGCATCGTCGACAACGGTAAACGCGATGATGGTGGTAGCGATGCAAACGACGACGATGACAACGACGACGGCAAGGCCAGTGATGGCACTGATGCTGACTACGCCGCCGACGATGATGGCGTCCTCGCGTCGGTGCTGGGGGTTGTGGAAGGAAATCGAAATGCGTGCGCGGCCGACGCGCGGGAGTGTCCCGCATAGTGATACTTGACACGGATCGCGCCTCCCCCGCCAACCCGCGCGCAAAGGGCGCACGAATTATTTCGACATGCGGCGCGAGGGGCCAGCTTGGTAAAATTTGATGAGCATGTGGTAGAACCCACGATTTTCTTCAGAAGTTCGCAAGGGCGCCAGCGCAGGCATTGCTGACAACTGGCGTTGCAAAGCCATCAAACAATGTGTTCGGGGCCTTCGATTCTCAAAGGGTAACGTAAGCCAACATCCATGCGACACGTAAGGTTTTTGAAAGATTTCGGCATGCGCGGGCGTCGACGCGCGCGTGCGCATGTCTTCTGATGTTTTGCAAAAGATTATTGTGACAACACTCGCGCAAGGGCGTTCGCGCGATTCCGACAAGCGCTCGCGAGAGGCCCGTATGGTCGCATGTCGCAAAATATGGCAATGTTGAAAAACCTATTTCTAAAACAAAAAAACGTTCGCATGAGCCCGACTGCGGGCTAAAAACAACAACTGTTGCGAAATCTTGCGCTTGTATTATATGTTTTCAAGACGATCGATTTTGAATTCCGCACGAAACCGCAAATTTTTGCGCCAGATTCCGGCATGCGCGCGCGACGACGCGCGCGGCTTGCAAAGGGTTCTTGCAAACTGATGATTGTTGATGAACGAATGCGCGCGCATAATATTTTCTGCATAGGGGGTGGGCCGAGACCGGCCTGCCTGGGACGGTACGAGTTTATATATAAGATGGGCACAGGGGCAAAATCAAATTGAAATTGCAATGCGAATGGGGGAACCGTGACTTCTGGGGGTCAAAGGGGGGGCAAAGGGGGGGGATATCCTCATACTCTTTCAGAAAAGAGAAAATACGTGGCTGGTGCAGCGGCACAGGCTCCGAATGGAGTGTTGCGAGCAGGCAGCTGACACTGCTCAGTGCGAACTTGCAAAAGCGCAGCGTTGCGGTGTCCGAGTGGTTCTCCAGGATGCCGATGCTCCAGGGGTAAGACGCTGGGAGCTGGGGGCGAATTGCCGTTTCGATCAGGGTGGTACGGGCAGCTGGAATTCGGAACACACACGCACCTCATCACACATCATTCACACAGACCAAGAACACATAAATAGCATCTTCAAGAAAGAGCACACCATTATCACACAGAAGGGCCCACACCACGTACCAACAGCAATCACACCAACGGCATACACACATGCTACACAAGGAGAGCATGCGTTAGGAAGATACACCATTGCACATTGGGTAAAAACATTCGTTCACACCAGACACGAAAAGAGCTTACGCCAATGACAGAAATATGGAAATGCCACACAACAGCAACATACACTCATAGCCAAAATAATCGAACAATTAACGCATATCAGGCACATGCGCAAATATCATAATAGCACCCAGAACGTGCGCAGCAGCCAAACATGAGCAATTATGAAACATACCACGCTGCCGAGGCACACGCGAATGGCTGTGAGACAACTCGCAGGAGGTAACTGATGCCGATCGCCCGAAACAAAACACTTCGTATTTCTGTGGGCTCCCTGGGGGCGATCTCCACGAGGCACAATTTAAAAAGGACGTTACCCCGGTGCGACCCTACCTAGAAGTTGGAGCCCCCAGGAAAGCAGCATTAGTTGCTGCGCTATTCTATGCTATGCTATGCTAAGCTATGCTATGTCCTGCTGCGCTGTGCTATGCAAGCGATGCTATGCTATATTATGCTATGCTGTGCTAAGCTGCGCTATGCTATGCTATGATATGCTACGCTATGCTATGCTATGATGCGCTGTGTTATGCTAAACTACGCTATGATATGCTATAAATAAGCTGCGCTATTATATGCTACGCTATGCTATGCTATGCTATGCTATGCTGCGCTATGCTATGCTATGCTATGCTTGGCTATGTTATGCTATGCTATGCTCATGCAGCGCTGCGCTATGCGAAGGTAAGCTAAGCTAACCCTCTAGGCATAGCCTAGGTTGGGAATTACATCCATGCTAAGCTAAGATCAACCTGAGCTAAGATGAAGCTAAGCTAAGCTAAGATAAACCTGAGCTAATATGAAGCTAAGCTAAGCTAATATGAAATAAGCTAAGCTAAGATGAGATAAGCAACGCTAAGCTAAAGGAACGTCACTGGGGGAACCGCTGGGCGGATCCTGGGGAAACCACCCAGGGCGTGGAACACTGCCCGGCCCTTTAAGCCAACACGGTAAGGACCCTTCTAGGCAGAGCCTAGGTAGGGAAAAAGCTTCCCGAGGCTGGACAACCTCCAGGAACCGACGACATCGCCCAGCGGGCCCGCACCCAGAGGCCACTCTGGCGAAGGGTCACTCGTACGCGTGGCCAAAGCTGGTGGTCGTCGTCGCAGCACCGGCCGCCCCCTCCGGCATCCCAACCTGCGGGTGCGGCTGCCCCATCACCGTGGGCAACTCGACCTGGGCGGCGCGAGAGGGGCCCTCCACTCCTCCGTCTCCTACTCGCCTCTCGCGCCATCCTCCCTTCTCGTTCCTAGCCCCACCCTCTCTCTCTCCTCCCTCTCCTCGCTCCCCGCCCCTCTCCCCTGCCAGTCGTCCCTCCCTCTTCTCCCTCTCACCCTATCCCTCCCTCCTCTCCTTTTGCTCCTTTCCCTCCCTTCTCTCCCTTTCCTCCCTTTCCTCCCTCTCCTTTCCCTCCTCCCCCTACTCCCTTCCGCCCCCGCCTCACTCTCCTCCCGATCCTCCCTTTCAATATCCTTCCTAACCTCGGTCTTCTTCCAGTCCCATGCCACACTGATTGAAAGCGGTTTTGAAGTCGGGCTGCTTTGAAAACGTGGCCCTCGTCGTAGCGCCGCGCACAGTCGTCGTCAAATCATTCGTGTACAACTCTTTGCGCGTGCACTTTCTCATCTTCGTCCTCAGCACCATCGTTAACATCGTCGACAGCGTCATCATTGCCACCTTCATCGTCATTACCACCATCTTTACCACTATCTCCACTGTCCTCAACACCATCATCACCACCATCATCGTTATCGTCGTTGCTCTCGTCACCAGTCACCATCACCATCGTCGTTGCTTTCGCCAATCTCGTCGTCCTCATTATCCCTGGCCGTCCCGACCCAGGTGTCTGCAGGGGAAAGGTCCTCGCGCAATTGTGCCAAATTGTTTTTGTTGCTAATAATTTCAAAATGGGGGGCATGCTTGCGCATACACGGGAATGGCCGGTCCCCAAATGCTCAAGACAAATTGCTCGTCCAACAGAAGATGAGCTCCACCACCCTCCCGCCCAAACCACCAGGTGACCCCCATCCACTGCACTGCAAATTACAGATGTGTTTGATTCATCGTTCGTTCTCAGACTTACCGAACATCCAAGCCAGCCCGGCATCGACCCCCCATCCCTCCCTCCAAATTAATATAATGCGCTCGCAATCGTCTGTCCCCCCCCAAAACAAGAGCGTATTGCAAGACTCCTTCGCAACCAAACACACAACAGCATCCAAACGCGCGCGCACGTGTCGAAATCAAACCACACACAATAGGTGTATAAGCTTGCCACCATCAAACCATAAAGCACCCGCAGGTTGCTCAAGCATATTGCCTACGTTGTGCCCGCGCTCGCTTGCTGAAATCATGAGTCCGCATCGCGTTTTAAAAAATCTCGCCAAGAGCCCGCATTCACATCTCACAACGCGGTAAACCCACGTGGATCCAGCATGCGCCCAGAGCACGGGTCCGTATCAAATAAAGCAATGCTGACCACATGCGAGCACCGCCTCCCGCGCGTATCGATTTGTTCCCAGCACCATTGATGTGCCAAGCCTTTCAAGATGGAAACTTTCAAAGACGTATGACGCAGCACATGTACTTACATCGGAAGTAAGCCATGTATCTTAAACTTCCGTGCGCGCGCGTCCTCACCATCACCCTCACCAGCGCCATCGCAGCACTGCCATTATCGTCATCGTCAACCGCCGCCACTGCCGCGGCGAAGTCAGTGAATGCGTTTCTTCACCGACACTGTGACATCATCACCTTCATCCTCATCATCATCATCACCATCATCATCATCATCATCATCATCATCGCCATCGTCGTCACCAGCATCGGCGCGGCGGTCATCGGCGTTGCCGTCGTCAACACAACCATCGCAAGCACCATCGCTACTATCATCGTCGCCGCCGCCCATCATCATGATGTCGCACCCGCTCGAGTCACCGACCCGCGATGAAGGGGCCGCGCGTCAGCGCGGCATTTGAGGCGCGCTGGGAAGTCCCCATCGGTAAGCGTCATCGCGGCCGCATCAACTGCGTCAAACCAGCTGACCACTCTGCGCGTGAGCTTGCGCGCGGCATCGCGGCCGCAGAGATGCGCCAGCCAATGCTGAGCAACCACCGCAATCACGGCCGCATGGGTTTTGCACAGCAAATTACGGGGCGGTATCGGGATGCTAGCGCGAGCAGTGGAGTTGAAGACTTCAAGTGGGGCACATTGGCTCGTAAGCGTGACCTGGGCGTGGTTTTAATCTTTTTTCAGCTCGGCGTATTGGAAATCATTGCTTGGCGCTTCTATGTCCGAAAAAAAAGCAGGGACAAATCCCAAAACAATTACTCATGTGTTTTTGCGTGTTGTTTATGTGCTTTTGTATTTTGTCCACAGATGAAGTGATTGCGCTGTTGAATGCTACCGCCTACCACGTCATGAAATCCTCCTCCTTGCGTCCAATCCTCTTTAATTTAATATTCATGGTAATCATCTTCTCTGGTCGGCGCTGCTGGCTGTTCGCGAGGCCTCCGGGCCTTTTCTGCGCCGGTGTTAGACCAGTGTAAAAGTAGGGCGTTATTGTTTGCCTCATTCGCTCAGCGCTCTGCGCGCGAAGCGTAAGGAACGGCAGGCGGCAGGAAAGTGAGAGTGGTAGCGAAGACCGCAGTGAAGACAAGGAGCAATCTGCGACAAGGAAGCAGCCAACGCTAAAGAATGAAAATCCACAACGACGGGCCTGAAAATGATAAAACAGCACATTGAAAAACGCTTTTTAGAGAAAACGTTTGCTTCTGCGTTTTTAGCTTGTCAAGAGCCCAAAGTGCACAACCGTAAAAAAACGCCCAGGGCGCTTTTCAGAAGAACCAAGACGATAAATCGCAGCGCGTATACTGCACCACGTATTGTACACCACGTAGCCTGCACCACAACGATAGCATCACATATCATGAACCACACCAATTTGCTGTCTGAAGAAAACTTGGGTTTGCCGGCGCCGAGGCCTGGGCCAGCGGTACCCCTCGGGGTATTATGCGTTCCGTGTTCATTCCGCACGGTCGTGCAACACATATTACAATGTGTACTACGCCTGCTGGCCATCTACCCCCGAACAATCCCCAGCGAATCAACTAGAATGCGTACACTCCCGTAGATCTAACAAGTAGCTCTGTAACAATATCTCACACATAAAGCAGAGCGGGCCACATGCGCCTCCGCGCAAGCATGCACGACTCATGGATTAACCATGTGTATACAGGTAGATGTATATACAGAGATACACATGTATACACATCTCTTCAGAAACTATCAAGAACACGCTGGTTTTGTTACGACCAAGTCGCCATGTGCCTCCGCGCGCGCGAACATCACAAGAACGCCATTGCTTGCTGGTGCAGGTCTGTCCAAGGAGACCCTGCGGGCAAAACGTACGCGCATGCCGAACACATCCAGCAACCATCGCGCACACCGCGAAGCCTAACCATGACTACAATGCGGGCCACACGCAAACGTCTTCGCGCACGCACGTCGGAATCCGTACAAGACCATTCGTGCTCTACGCGTGTCGACGCATGGGCGTTTAAACCGTACCAGCTATTCAGAATTCCTGCGCGCACGCACTTCCTGAACATCACCATCAGCACCCTTGTCAGCATCGCCAGCATCATCCTGCCCATTGCCATCACCACCAGCAATATCGTCGTCGTAATCACCACCGTCGTCATCATCCTCACCGCCAGTGTCGTCTCCCTCGTCACCATCACCACAGCCATCACAGTCGTCATCATCATCGTTAGCATCATCACCATCACCTTTTTTGTCATCATCCTCACTACCGCCATCATCACTACCATCATCATCAGCATCGTCACCATCATCATCATCAGCAATATCAGCATCATCGTCATCATCACCATCATCATCATCATCATCATCATCAGCATCATCATCATCTCGTCATCGCCATCGTCATTGTCATCATCGTTATCGTCGTCGTCGTCGCCGATATCGTCTTCACCATCATGACTCGGCCGCCAGGGCCATGGATCTGCAAGAGCAGGATCCGCGCGTCACGTCACTGCGCCGCTTTTGAGATTCATGAGCAGGTCCCGATGCGTGACTGCACTCACGGCCTGGTGGAACCCTGACCACCAGTCGCGGGTGGGTGGGTGACATGTCTGCTCCAGCACGGGAGGTGGTCACGCGCGGATGTCCACAGCTGCTTGCACCACACACTACTGCAAATTGCACCGCACAGACTGTGCATCGGGAGTGCCAGCGCCTACTGCCTGGGGCCGCTGGGGCTCTCGCGTGAGGCTTTTCCGGGTTGTCCACCCAATTTGCACTTTGTCGTGGAAGACCACGGATGAACTTAAGAAGAGCCTTGGACGGCGAGATCGCGAAGGGAACGCATTGGATCTCCCATCCTCTGCGTCCCCGGTTCCTCCTTCTCCTCCTCGCGCCTATGAGCATCATCCTCCGCCATCCCCGTGCTCAACCCTCCCCTTCTCGGCCCCCTCCGACTATTCCGCTTCATCCACCTCTTCCAATTGACCCGCGTCTGCCACATCACGTGCTGCCGCATCATATTTGTTATGCGTTTGGCACGCGGCCATTAACACTGCTTGGCTCAACAGGACATGTTCGGCTGAATCCCATCATCGGCACACAGTTTGTGACCTCTGCCACTGCCACGGACGGGTAGAGCACGTAGGTTGAGATTACGACAGCTGCCATCAAGCCAGTGATCACTTCGACGCAACACCTGCCAAATATAGAACACAATCATGCTGCAAGGCGAACTATAGCTGTCCGCAAGGGGCATTGGACATGACAAGAGCCAGAAAGCTGCACGACAAGAAACTCCAATTCAGACGGCAACGTGTGACAAACAGGGGGTCAAACCGCGGCCGCTCCGAACCCATCCTGCCAGAAGCACGCTCCAACAGTGGCAATACTGCAAGGCGCAACTCCAAAGAGAAACGGGCAATGTCATACACACTCGCAGAGGCGCCCGCGCGCACATACATCTGTGAATGTGTATATATGTAGATTATATATACAGATAGATAGATACGCACATACACATCTACATACATACATCGTTCTTCTCCACACAAACGATGTCGTGCGAATCGTCCGAAGGCGGCATCATATGAGGGTGCGGAGTGCAAAGGCGGCAGAACAGAAGGCGCGTGCGGTCGACAACGAAGGTGGCAGGGTGGGCAGCGGTGCCGAGAGGGACATCCGCAAGGCTTGGATGCGGGGGAAAGCGCAGCGACCGAGAGGCAGCAACAAGGCATGTATGGACAAGCAGAAGCAAAAGAGCAGCCAGGCAAGAGAAGAAGCGGAGCAGTGCATGCATGGCTTGCGGCGCGCGGGGCCGCTGAAGTCGGACCCAGGACAGAAACAAACCTTCTTCAAGAACATGAGACCCTCCGCTGGCCAAAACACATAGCATCCAAGGGTACCCTCCCCGGGATGCACAAGAACATCCAACAAACACGAAGACCATCTGGGCACCCTCCCCGAAGCGACCTCGATCTTATGCTCAGGTCCGGCCGTACTGGCTCAAAGGTATGTCGGCACTGTAGGATCGCGTGGGATCGAGGCTCCCACGATTATGTCGCCGACCACGATCGGGGAGCCAAGTGGGCTAAGTGCAAAGCGCCATGGGAGTCGCGCGGAAGAAATGAGAGGCCCAATGACCTCGATAATCAATCAGAGGAACGAGAGGGCGAGGCGAAGCAGCGCGCAGCGGCCGCGCCTGTGCCGCCGCACGAACTCGACGGCCGCCCCCACGTTGGCGAGCAGAGCATTCCGCCTCTCATCGCCTGGGGCGTCGTACGGATCAGCAGGGCCGCCCTCCGGCTCTCCCGCCTCGCCCTCCCCTTCACCTCTTCCTCGTCCTCGCTATTAGCTTCTTATGCCCACACCTTGTCAGTGCTCTTTCCTCACACACAGCCCGCTCCACCTGGGCGGCTTCGGTCTGCATGGCGTCGTCAGCGGGCAACGATGCCCTCTGGAGTCTTTTCGCAGATCTCCGAGTTCCGAGTTCCGAGTTATTCCTCGTCCTGAGCCTTGCCTCCCTCTGTGCTGTCACCACTTCCCGAACCCCATGGGGAGTCTGGCGGACGGGGGCCTGAGCGGGATCTCGCCTCCCAGGTGCCGCCAACGCTCACAGATGACCAGCGAATGAATCGGGCTCACGCGACCGAGGGCATCACGAGATGGAGCACGGGGGCGCACGACGCGTGGGGAAGAAGGAGCATACGTGCTACCTTGTGCGGGCAGCTTACGGGCGGTCGACCCCGCTTGAGCTGATCGCTCGAGCGACGCTGCTTTTAAAAGACCGTGTGGGGTCCGACGGAGCTGGCCGGGCCACCAGGGGCTGCCCGTGGAACTCTCCCCATGCCGAGCTCCTCTTTGAGTCCAGAGGAGTTGCACGCCTACGCGGACCCAAGCAAGACCTCACCCCCATGGGCGCGTCCAAGCGTACAAATGCCGCCATCTGTTTGCAACACGCACGTCTGCCCGCACCACGCACCCACACGCGAACTCGACTCCCTGGGTGGTGCCCGAGGGGCAACTGTATATTCACAGCATGGCACCAAGGGGAATCCAACAGATCTGCCCGCAAGGCGGATTCGCACGAACTCTCGCCCCTGGGTGCTGTCAAGAAGACAACTGTTGCTACTTCGTCGGCTCCCCGGGTGCTACCAGAGGGACCCGTTTCGTCAGATCGAGACAACCAAGAGAGCCCAGCGGGTCTGCTCGGGGAACGGACCTGATCAGGACCCCGTCGCCCTGGGTGCAGCCAATCGTCTTGGGCGGGTTGGAGCCTGGGCACCCCGGGCAGAGCAGTTCTCAGCGGCATCTCCGACGGAGCTCCCATTCTGCGGAGAAGCAGGCTCCAGCGATGAGGGGAGCCGAATGTGGGTGACTGGCCAAGGAAGGGAAACACAGACCTGGGATCGACGATTCAAAGAAGAAGAAACTATATAAACATATACTTGTGGCGCTCCGAGCGGATTTCTTGGATCTGCGCTGGACCCTCCTCCCTGGCGCGCGGAGCGCGCCAGGGGCGGCGCCGGAGGCGCCGCCAGGGGGGCCCAGCGGAGATCCGAGAAATCCGCGCGGAGCGTCGAAAGTTTATGTTATGTGCCTTTTTCTTCCCCGAAGGAAGGGGAGCACTGACCTGGAATCGACGATAGGCACCGACGACAGATCGGCGATATGCCCCCAGCAGCAAAGGCGCACGTCCCTTGACCAGGCGGGAAGGCCCGAGCCCCCCTCGGCGATGAGTGGGCGATGCTTGCAAGGTCGATGTTGCCGCCACGTGAGTCCGGTCACGCCCCTGCCGGGTGCCCCTGAAGCGACGACCTGCGAGGCGGGGATTGATCCTGAAGTCGGGCTTGTCCCATTACACTAGGAATCTATTGTTGGGGGGTATTTTTCGACCATTTCGTTATTATATTTGAGCATTCTAGGTTATATATTATTTTCCGTCCGCAATCGGCCTGTAGGGGGACATTGCCGACCTGAACTTTAAGTCTGGCCTTTCCCCCTACAGGCGCATTCCGGGTGAAAACATAGAAATGCTCGAAAAGACTCCCGAAATGCAAAAAAATAATCCAAAATCTTCCCCATTGCATTTGTTTGACAATTCTTGAATTCTCCTCCTGTAGAGGGACAGGCCCGACTTAAACCTAAATTCAGCCATGTCCACCACCTGGGAACTGACGCCCTGGTGCCCCAGCGGGCGGTGGATATATGGATATGACTGGGCTCGAGGGCTCCCCGTTGCTCGGACGTCCATTCCCTGTGCTTGTTTCGGTTTCGTGCGTGGCTCTTTTGCAAGATGATCCAGGACTTTGTGGGCCCAGGAAACGGCAGGGCCGTTTTTTCACCGTTTCCAAAAAAATGTCCCTTGAAAGTGGAAACGGCAAAAAAACGCCGACCAAAAGCGGCAAAAAAAAACGGCTCCAGGATTGGAACCGGAGCCGGAACCGGTCAAAAAACGGCGACGGAACCGGTAAAACAACGGCGTCGGAACCGGCAAAAAACGGCAAACGGAACCGGTAAAAAAACGGCCCTGTCGTTTCCAGGGCCCACTAAGATCCAGGATGCTCCTGAATAATCCCCGCCGAGGAAGACTGCACACGTCCGAGCGATACCAAGAGAGGGACCCCGGATATAGATCCACAGCCACCGCCTGCCGACGACGAGCACGAGCCCGCCCGCACAAGGGCACCGTCTATAGGGGTGCTGCGGGTGCGGCGCCGGGGCGCCGGAGTGACGGAACAAAAAGAAATTGAGGCCCCCGACGTCATGATTTCTTCATGACGTCGATCCCCAGCGGTCTGGACCCATTCCCCTGGACCAGTTTTTCCTCGTGAGTCGTTTTTTGACGGTCCCGAGGGCCAATAAGGGCCCCCAGAGGCCGAAAATAGCGAAAAACCTGCCGTCATGATTTTTTCATGTCTCGAGGGGGTCTGGGATTGAGGCCACGCCAAGACTTAGTGGGCCCTGGGAACGACAGGGCCGTTTTGTTACCGGCTCCGTTTTGCTGTTTTTTGCCGGTTCCGACGCCGTTTTTGTTACCGGTTCCGTCGCCGTTTTTTGACCAGTTCCGGCTCCGGTTCCAGTCCTGGAGCCGTTATTTTTGCCGTTTCCGGTCGCCGTTTTTTTGCCGTTTCCATTTTCAAGGGACATTTTTTGGAAACAGTGAAAAAAACGGCCCTGCTGTTTCCGGGGCCCACAAAGCGCCAAGACCTTGAGTCATTAAAGTACGTCGGACTAACACGCACACCCCCCTTCTCCTAAAATTCAAAGTTGACGGGTTCAGGCGGTAGGCCAAAGGCCAGGTACAACATGTGGACACTTCAAGTTTGGTCTGGGGGGGAGGGGTGCGAAGCAAGGGCATTTCGGAGTTGTGGTTGTTATCATGTCGCATCGCCTTCCCGCCACGGGTGTGGACACTTTTTGTCCGGGCACCGACTCCTGTTCGATATTGTTCTCAGCTCCGTTGTGGCAACTTCCAACATATCTTGCCCTTGAGGCTGAAGGCCCTGCCCTTGAGGCTGGAGGCCCGAAGCCCCCGAGGGTTGATCCTCCAGGCGGTGGTGATGTATACACTCCCGCCTCGGATGACCAGGCCGCGCACAGCGTCAAGCGGCTGCCGGGCAAGCATCACTGGAAGACGCCCCGCGCCGCGGCTGGCTCCGAGCCGTCCAGCCGCAGCGCGCCGAGCCGCAGCGCCACCTCGTGGGTCTGGAAGTCCTCGAACTCCAGGGGGAGCCCGGCCACGAACCGCAGCGACGGGGCGTCCGACACGAGCCGCCGGTACTCCTCCCGAAGCAGCGCGCGTGAACTCTTGGAGGCCCGGGCGGGCTTCTGGCATCGGCGCTGGGCCCCCTCCCTGGCGTGCGGAGCTTACGAGGCGGCGCCGCGGGCGCACCACGGGGGGCCCAGCCTCGACTCCAGGAGGCCGCGCGGGCCCACCGAGAAAGGTTCTGCTCCCGCCGAGGCTGCTCCGATCCTCGCCTACCGCCCGCAGCACCTCTCGGCGGTGGACAAGCCTCCCTCTCGTAAGCCTCCCCTTAGCGACAACGGCCCGGGACCGAGACCGACGGACCCGGACTTGCAAAAGTGACGGCCGCGACGCCCTCTCGCGGACCGAAAACGGCCAATTCCTGAATCGACGTGTCCGGGTAGGAGGTCTGCCCACCCCCGAACCTTGGCACTGTCGGCGCGCTCCAGACCCGAATTTCGGGTTGAGGGGGGGGGTAAGGGTTCCACATGTGTTTGTTCGATGTTCCCCGACCCCCCCCCCACTGGAAATCGAGGGTAAATCTGAGCCTTCGGGTTGGGTTAGGGTGGTTTGGTGGGTGGTGAGATCCTCGCCCACCGCCCGCAGCACCTTGGCACTGTCGGCGCGCTCCAGCCACAGGGCCACCCGGCTCTCCCGGCCACGCAGCGACAGCGTCGCGCCGCGCACGGCGGCCCCGCAGAGGCCGGCGAAGGCCTCGCCCACGAGCCCCATGCCGAGGAGCAGCCACAGCTCGTCGAGCCGGGGGCGGTCGATGCGCCCCAGCCGCAGCATCCAGCGCCCGCCGCGCCGGAACAGGGGGTCCTCTGACTACCTACCAGGCCACCCCAACCCAACCCGAAGACCCGAATTTGACCCGAATTTCGGGTTGGGGGGGTACGGAGACCATGTGTTTTTTCAACGTTCCCCGACACCCCCCCCTCTGGAAATGGAAGGCAAATTGAAGGCTTCGGGTTGGGTTGGGGTGGTTTGGTGGGTGGTGATCCTCCCACGCGGGCGTGACGCCGCTCTCGAAGAGCGAGCAGTCGCAGCTCGCGAGGCTGGAGGGGGGGATGGAGAACCGCGACAGGCACCAGAAGCCCTCCACGGTGTCGAACTCGTGCCCCAGCTCCTGTGGATGGGGCCGAGGGACACACACACACATCCATACACGGAACGCCCAGGATCTCCCGTATGCTTTCCTGCATTTCTTCTGGGTCTTCGTCTTCCCCCACACTTCCCATCATTTCCCCGTATTTTCCTAGGGATCGAGGATTCATTGTGTCTGTGTGCCTTTTCCCCTCCTGATCCTGGTCGTCCCACCACCTCGAGTCTGGCCCGCGGGCCTGGGCGGAGGCCCCGCCGGGGAGGGGCCGCAGCCAGAGCCGCCAGGGCCGCTGCAGCACGTGCCCGCCCTCGTGGCCCCCCGCCCGACACCGCTGCACAGGCCCTGCGACGTACTTCTTCGCCCGTGGCCCACCCCGAAGACGAAGCCAGGACGAGGCTACTTTCGGGTGAGCGTATGTGTGTGTATATATATATATATATATATATATATATACGTCGAGAATCTCCGAAGTCAGGCTCTGGATGATGCGTCTCGGACGCCGCGGCCTTCTCAAGGCGTTCCGGAACGCTCTGGGAGCGTTCCGGAACGCTCTGGAACGTACTTGTCCTCGTCCTGGCCCCGCCCGCACCCACGCCACCAAGGGAGCAGGGGCCAAACAGACGACCTGGCAGCCTGACAGACCTCGGAAACGGGCCGCTTCTGATCGGGCCTCAGGCTGTGCGTGGCCCTCTGCTCGGCCCAAGAGCCCTCCAGCGCGGCAGCTGGGCCACGGCACTTCGCCTCCAGCTCCCCGACCCACCCGGCCCGGCGCCGCTCAGGCCGGCGCCAGGTGCCGTCCGTCGAGGGACAAATGACGGCATAAACATTTATCTTTCGGAGGACCACGCTGATTTCTTGGATCGGCGCTGGACCTCCCTGGCGGCGCCTCCGGCGCCGCCCCTGGCGCGCTCCGCGCGCCAGGGAGGGGGAGCAGCGCTGATCCCTGAAATTCGCGCACATCTCCGAAAGCCTATACTCATGGCACAAGCAGAAAGGATTGATTCCTTGGGGTCCGACGTTGCCAAAAATTGCAACATCGCAAGACATGACGACCGGAGCCCCGGACCCCATCCTTCTGCGCCCATTGTCAAAATGGATCGATCTGTGAGGGTACCGGGGTCCGAAATGAGGCGAAAATGCCCGGCTCGAGAAAATCAAGACGCTAGAATCTTAGGGATAGGGTCTGCTTACCTCTAAATCGGGCCTGTCCCTCTACAGAGGAAATATTCAAAAATAGCAAAGAAGTAACAGGGGACGATTTTTAAAATAATGTTTGAAGATGTTTTGAATATGTTCGGGATATCTTTCATTATTCGTCCACAAGCCCCCTCTAGGAGGACAGGCCCGACTTATGCTTACGGCGAAAACGTTATGCCGCCCTTGGCTCCCCGAGCCTGGGCGGCGCGTCCACCGCAGGCGGCTGCCGTCGGGCAGCTCCAGCGCGTAGCTGCCGTCGCCCAGGGCCTCCGCCTAGGAACAAGGAAAAGCGGCACCAGCACCACCAGGGACCACCAGCGCGAGGAGCCAGGGGTGGCACCCCTGGTGGTGTGGGCCCCCCCCCCTCCCGCTCGAGACGTCCCCCAGCGGACCTCCTCGCTGGAAGTGGCCCCCTGGTGGCACAGACATCCAGCTGCTCCAATTTCTTCGATGCCCGGGCCCCGGAGGACCACTTCCCCGAGACCGGTGTTTCGTCCCGGGTCGCTTCTTGACGGCCTCGAGGCCCGGCGAGGGCCCCCGAAGGCCGCAAATTGCCCGCAGCCGCCTGCGCTGGGAGCGTCGGAGCCTTGGCGGTGTCGGTGCTCCTCCCCCCCGCGCCGACGCGAGGCCAGGCGCTGCCCGGCTCTCGGCGGCTGCGGGGGGCGCGCGGCCGCCCCCCGCCGGCCTGCTCGGCCCCCCTCTGAGGGCCCAGGTGCGCGTGGCGTGCCTCCCGCCCCCTCCCCGTTGCCCGCCTCTGCCCCCTCGAGGCGCCCCCCCCCCCGCTCGTCGCTCGCCCGCCGTCCGCGTGCTCTTCCTCGCCCCCCCGCGGGCTCCTCCTCCGCTATTGTCGTGGATCGGCGCCGCTCTTCTCCGGGCCCCTCGCAGGGTGGCTTCGGGAGCGGCCAAGAGGGGGGTGTCCAAAAGGGGGGGGTGCAAATCATGACCGGCGGCATGTGCGCGGCCCAGCGGGGGGGCCAGGGACGCAATGAAACAAGAAGAGGCGCCATGAAATCTGGGGAGATATCTTGGCCCACGCCATGAGATCGACCCCCCCCCTAGTCATCACCCCCCTCTTTTCCGCCCCCGATGGCTGTTGGGCCCCCGGAGGCCCGGAGCTGCAGCAGGTGCCTCCCTGGTGGGCCCAGGCCCGCTGCCCCCGCCGCGCTGGCCCCACGGGCCCTGCGGGGCGGCGGCGCGCGCGGCGGGGCGGTCGAAGCGCCGAGGGGCCTTCCTATACGCTTCGGTCGGGCATGTCCCCCTACAGGCGGATTTTGGGGCGAAAAGTGAAGCATGATCCAAACACGTGCAAACATGCGCAAACATGGCCAAACAAGTCGCAGCCCGACCATTTCTAACTCATTCTTCGAGCTCCCCCCTGTGGGGGGACCCGGCTCAATCCTACACTCCGACGGTCCATGTGACAATCTCCCCAGGAGGGGGAGGAGGAGGAGGGGGAGGGGGAGGAGGAGGAGGAGGAGGAGGGAGGAGAGGAGGAGAAGGAGGAGGAGGAGGAGGAGAGGGAGGAGGAGGAGGAGGAGGAGGAGGAGGAGGAGGAGGAGGAGAGGAGGAGGAGGAGGAGGAGGACCGCCTCTCGCGGGGGCGCGTCGTGCCCTCCGCCCGGGGCGGCCGCGCGAGAGGCGCCGCCGCCGGGCTGCTCCGCGCCGCCCGCGGCGGCCACGGGGGCGAGCCCCGCGCCCTCCGCCATGGAGGGGGCGGTCGGCCAGCAGCCCGCGGCGGCCGCGCTCGAGCCCCGCAGGGCGGCCTGAAGCCGCAGGAGTCCTGAGACTCGGAGGGGGGGGGAGGAGATAGGAGGGAGGAGGAGGAGGAGGGGGGGGGAGGAGGGGGGGGGGGGGAGGAGGGAGGAGGAGGAGGAGGAGGAGGAGAGGAGAGGAGGAAGAGGAGGAGGAGGAGGAAGAGGAGGAGGAGGAGGAGGAGGAGGAGGAGGAGGAGGAGGAGGAGGAGGAGGAGGAGGAGGAGGAGGAGGAGGAGGAGGTCACTCGCCATCGCTCGGATGTCGGTTCCCCTTGCATTCTTCAAAGTCGTGCGTGTTTCTTTTGCTTGATGATCCGGGATGCTCCTCGATGGTCCTCGGCCAGAAAGAATACACACGTCCGAGCGATACCCCGGTCAACTAGTATAAGATGGACGCACGATCAGGATGCGAGGGCCTCTGAAGGCCGTGTCGACACTTTGCGAGCGAGTCGCGGCCAGCGAAAGCGGCCAATGATGGGCCGAAGGGAAAGGATGCAATGGTGGCCTTGGAAAGTTGATCATCCTTGCTATGAGGATTGACTCTACCGTCCAGACCACTCCAAACCGACCCGAAGATCCACATTCCATGTTGGGAGGGGTACGGGTTCCGGTTCCACATGTGCTACTTCCGTGTTCCCCGACGCCCCCCCCACTGGGAATGGAGGGCAAGTTGGGGCCTTCGGGTTAGGCTGGGACTGGGGCGGCTTAATGGGTGGTGAGTCGGCTGGCAGCCCGGCCACCCCGCCGCCCCCTGTCAGCAGCAATAGAAAGCGCTCTTTCCGACATCTCGTGGTCGGCGGGGACCTGCATGACAGTGGGCAGGCCCTGAGCGCGTTCGCCGAAATCGCGGGCCCCGCCGACAATGGAAACGCAGTCTCGTTTCGGAGGCACGATGGCGGCTACGTCCGATCCTGTCCGTCAAGATCAGCAGCTGTTCCCCAGCCATGGCGTCCAAAAGCACCAGGCAACCCGACCACGCGCGCAAGCGCCGTGCAACCCACTGCGCTTTGGAACAAACCTTCTGCCACATGTCCTGCCAAAACGATCTGCCACCGTGCCCCCCGGGCACTCGGGAACGCTGCGCCTTGACATCCTGCGAGATCTGGCACGGAACATATGGTCGCAGTCTGGACCAGGTCGTCGCCATATGGCCTGGCACAGTTGCACGCATCTCTTAAATGCTGCGACAAGCAACAAGACTCTGCTGACAAATGGTGCAGGTGCACAGGAAGCCGCCCAGCAAATCTGCACTGCCAAGCAGCTGGGCCTCTCATTTTGGGAGGAATGCCACCCGCGTGATTCGAAGAATAACGGCGGCTCCTGGCAATCACACAGGTCTTGCTCGTGCTGTTTTGAGACCTACAACGTTGCATCTGAGGCGCAGGTGGCATCTCCGTGCCTCGATCCCATCAAAGTGGGCGCAGGCGGTTCCGGTCAAAAGACTTGCGTCATTGAAGGGGCCTTTGGACACACAATTAAATAGACACATATAATGGGGTTCCCAATATTTTCCCATATTGTCTGGGTTTCTGTCTTCCCCCCCACTTCCAATATAGTCGAATATCTTCCTGGGAGTCGACGATGAATTTTGTCTGTGTGCTGTTTTCCCTCCTGAAAGACTTGCGTCATGCTCCGAACGAAAAGAAGGCAACGTGGTCCGAGCCACCGTGTCCTGGACAGGATCCAGGTCAGAACGGCTTGAGCCGATCGCTCGAGCCCCCCAAAAAGCTACGGAGATGTCCGAAGTCATCTCAGTTGGCCCTGGCAGCGTACTGTGGCCAGCGTGCGCCGTACGCGGAGCGCGTGCCAGGTGCGCCACGCGCGCGAGTTGCGGGTCGATCGCGGGATTGGATCGCTTAATGCTGTTGTTCTGCGGCTTACGGCTTTTTTTTTTCTGCGGATGCCATTCAATATGAAGCCGACCGCGGCATCCTCCACATGTGTTGAACGTCTCGCTGGCCTTCAGAAAAGATTGTTGGCAAGAGTCGGGCCCAGCACAGCCGCTCAGAACTTTGTTAACATCTGTGCTACAGCAAACCTGGGGCCAGTCCGTGCTTCTGTTGGGACGCATTTGACTTCTGATGCATCTGGTTATGGCCAGTTCTAAAGGCTGGCAAAAGGTATGGCAGGTTGTTGGTGTGGTCTCGATTCTGGTGTCTGCTGCAATCATTACCGATGCGGGCACTGGCTGCACAGGAATCTCATTCCCTAGAAAAAAGAAACATACTCACATACCAACCTCACCTACAATGTCGCATCGCACCACGCCGTCACGGGCAACACCGTTTGCCCCGTCTTTGGAACCTTACAACGATGGATCCGACCACAATCGCCCACAGAAACCATTCGAATTGCCCATGCATCCGTTGAAATGCCAATACACGGGGACCGATCAGGAAAAACTGAACCAAGGAGTACGTCTCTTGTGGGTTGATGTTCGCACCCTCTGGCTTCGGCGACCCCTCACCGAACAAAAGAAGTCAGCTTCTCTATGCCTCGACGGCAGGGCCCCTGTTTGCAACGCACGATCCGAAACCAAACCCGAACTGGAGTCACGACCATCTACCATTATTCATCATTCACTGGGTGACCCTGTAGTGACCAGGCCTCCGTTGGAAACAAGGAGCTGGAAATAGACAGCCTGCGGCGGCCAAGCATTGCGAAACCACGGGCTGCAGAACTGGTCCCCTTCTCATCCACCTCATCCCTTCTCCTGCTCCTCCCTCTCCTCCCCCTCCACCTCCTCCTGGACATCATCCCCGATCCAACCACGATCCTCCTCCTCCCTGTGGGACTCCCGCTCCTTGTCCTCATCATCCTTCCCCTCCGTGATCATTATCTCATTCAGCCTCGCCCCCTGACCGCAGGCAGCTGGGAACGTGGCTATCCCCATTCTCCTCCACCTCCTCCTTCCCCTACCCCTCCTCCTCCTCCTCGTCCTCCTCCTCCTCCTTCTCCTCCTGCAGCTCGGAACGTGGTTATCTCCATTCTCCTCCACCTCCTCCTTCCCCTACCCCTCCTCCTCCTCCTCCTCCTCCTCCTCCTCCTCCTCCTCTTCCCCCTCTTCCCCCTCCTCTGCCTCCCCTTTATTGCACATCCTGCCCGTCCCTCCCCCTTCTCCTCCGCCCACCTCCCCGTCCCCGTCCGCACCCCCCTACCCCTCCTGCCTCTCCCCCCCCCCCGTCCTCCGACGCCTCCTCCCCGAGGCGGCCGCCCTGCGCTCCGCGCAGGGCGGCCCGTGGGTGGAGCAGAGAGGGGGCAGGCCGGGAGAGGACGACGCAGACCGACGACACGCAGCGGACCGCGCAAATGACTACCTACCAGACCACCCCAACCCAACCCGAAGACCCCAATTTCGGGTTGGGGGGGGGGTACGGGTTCCATATGTGTATTTTCAATGTTCCCCGACCCCCCCCAACTGGAAATGGAGGGGAAATTGAGGCCTTCGGGTTGGGTTGGGGTGGTTTGGTGGGTGGTGAGCAAAACGACAACAAGCTGGCAGCGCCGACCGAGGAGAGACGAGTGCGCGACGCGAAGGCTGGGACTCGCCACGTCTTCCTGGGGGCTGGCCATCGCTCGGACGTCCATTCCCTTTGGTTTTTTCGGTTTTGTACGTGGCTTTTTCGCCAAATGATCAAGGATGCTCCTCGATGGTCCTCGCCGAAGGAAAAATGCACACGTCCGAGCGATGCCAAGGGGAGGGAAATATCGACCTGTCATCGGCGACACGTCGCCGATGCAGGTCGGCCACCGGCCCCCAGTGGTGAGGCCGCACCTTCCCGTGAAGGCTCTGGGGCTACCGGGCCCGCCTCGGCGATCAGTGGGCGATTGGGGGGTGGATGCCTCCCCCCCCTGTGCCTACCACCCCCCCCCTCCCCACCCCTGTCGTTGGCCCTGACTCCCCCGCATGCTCCACGCGCTGGCCTTCTGCGGGCGCCTGCAGCGGCTCGTGCATGGCGCGCCCCCCGCCCGCGCGCGCTCGCGGCGCGCGCGGTGGGCCCGAGCTGACACCCTCCCCCACCTTCGTGCCATTCCTCCTCCTTGCCCTCCTCCCTCCCTCGCCCGTCCTCCGCAGCCACCTCCCCTCCCTCGCACCCTGCCTCCAGCTCCTTCCTCTCCCACTCCTCCACTTGCCCCATCTTCTTTCTCAACCTCCTCCTCCGCCCTCCCTCTGTGCAGCCCTAGCCCTCTTCACCCCCGCATCAGACTTTGCCTCCGCCCCCACCTCCATCCTCACCCCCTCCCCACCGTCTCCCGCTCCTCCTCCTCTCCTCCTCCCCAGCACGAGCGGCCCAAGGCGACTCCATAGCCATTTGACCTTTGAACTTCGGGGTTGCCTTGCCATCGCGTCCCAGCATCTTGTCGCGGCATGCTTGCAAATACTGTAGTTGGCGCCTGTGGCATCATACTCCAATCGACCGAGACGAACGGTTCATGACACTTGTGGGTCAGGCTGATTTTCCTCACCAGCCTGTGCCGTCGGGTCTATAGCTCGTTCCTGCACTGCGAGGGTCCTTCCTGCAGCTCGGCGTCCGTCCCAGCTGGAGGTCCTGGCAGGCTGTCCGCAGCAATATCCTAAATAACTGGGCGAACAGTCGACCCATATTGTAAGGATGTACGGTAAGGATGCAAGGGCCTTGCAAGACCATGCTGGCGTTCTTCGAGTGAGACTGGCCAGCGAAAGGTGCCAGGGATGGGCCGAAGGGCCATGTTGCAATGGCAACCTTGGAACATTGCTCATCCTTGCTATGCGGGTTGACTGGACTTCAACTTTGGGACTGCAATGGGACATTTTGTGTTCGGTTCGCTTCTGCGCTGCTTCTTGGCGGCGCTCCGAGGGCAACACCAGTCTCGGGTAAGCAGAGGAGGCCCGCACGCTGCGCTCAGCAGAACCCTCTTTTTTTGCCTGGGGGTACTTCAAGTTTCTATCGCCATTCAGGGCTCGAGCTGAACAATGTTGTTCGTTGTCGATGTGTGTTCGGTTTCCCTCGCTCTGGCGTCGTTCCACCTTTGCTGCAACATGAATGCACAACGAAAACGGTACACGGAATCGCCAACACATCGTTTAGCTCGAGCCCTGTCGCCACCTTCGGAAAAGCAGAAGGGAAACTGAAGGGACGCAGCGGACATAATCGATGACCTTGCTCGCCGTCAAAGCTGGCACCAGGGTACCAGGGCGCCACAGGGAGCACCCATACCAACACCGAGACATCTCCAATGTCTGGCCAGGCTCTCGGAGCCCAGCTCCGAGCGAACAAGGGAAGGGTTGCCACATCGGGAGGAGGGACAGGAACAGGAAGAGGAAGAGGAGGTCAGGACGATGAAGACGAGGATTGGGAGTACTTCAAGTTTGGAGCTGCACTTTGGGGTTGAGTTTAGTTGATCGGGTCAGCTCGCAACTCTGTGTTTAAAGCGCTCCATTCTGCCTATCCCTCAGCGTGGAACATGCGGAGGTGCACCATTCACACTGGTCATTGCGTAAACGGCTGATCAACTCACGTGTGGCCTGGCGCTGGCGGCTGCTGTGAAGCTACTTGATGCCTGCTGTGAATTGAACGTGGCTCGGCGGTACAGCTCGGGTGGATTCCGCCTCACAGTTCGCCCATCCGCTCGTTTCCACCGGCGTCGGGAGGTATTACTCGGTGTGCTCGGGTCGGCCTGAACTCTCAGCGGTCAAGATCCGTATTAGGTGAATGAGGATCATGTGATTCCTTGTTGCCCCACACCCCTCAAACGTTACGGCAAATCATGGCTTTCCCCTGGTGGTGGTGAGCCTTGGATGCCAGTGAAAGCATCCTGGGCATTCGGCATTATTGTCTTGGCGGCTGAGAGACATGAATGAACTGTGAACGTGCCCCGTTACCATGTCCTGGGTGTCGCAAGTTGTCCCGTTCGATTCACGACGCTGTGATGGGCTCCACTCTTCCTCCTCCTCCTCCTCCTCCTCCTCCTCTGCCTCCATGTCTCCCGTGCTGTTGATAGTTTCCCGCTGACTTCGTCCCAGATTCAGGATGGAGACCCCTAGCAAGCCGCCGCAGGTTATGTTTCCCCGCCTGACTAGGTTGCAGAGGGCAGTCCTCGGCAAGCTTGACAAGGGATCTCACCCGCACAGGAGCTGCAGACCAGAACTGTTCGAAACACAATTTGGGTGTGAGAGGGATCATAAGAGGCAATACTTGGATGCTGGGCTCAGTCCTAAGCCCCTCCCCCCAGAGCCGTACAGCACGATCCCCACAGACGACCCAACTGGCGATAGGGACCCAACTCCGCGGCGCCCCGGCAGGGCTTGGGCCCAAACTCACCAAAACGGTTCATCAAGACAGGGGAACGCAAAAGACAGACAACGTACTTAAACGAAACTCCCAGCTTTAATATTCTGGCTGACCACCCAAACGCGCTCCCGTCCCTGGTTGGCCCTGGACATGTTCGCTGTTCCTATTGCTGTTCATGGCCCAGTCTACCCTCGCGAGTACGACCACAGGTGAACGAGAAGAAGGACGAGGAGGACCAGGGTAAGCAGCCATCCTTGCTCCTTGCGAATGCTGCTGATGCCTGCGTGTGTTTCTTGACGTGATGTGCTTGTTACTTGGCCACCTCGCCCGATTTTGATTATTCTCATCATAGGCGCTGCGCCCGCTTAGCTCGAGCATGGGCAACGCGAAGATCAGAACAAGCACGGCACAGACCACTCGTGCTGCAACTCAACTGTCCTGCCCCCAAAAGCCCCATTTTTACTAACCGATGCTCGTATATGTCCATCTCAGGCGAGCGCCCGCCGCGACGGCGACGGCCCTGGGGGGCCTGCAATGTGAGAGCTCCGTGTAGTGTGACATCCGCGCCAATGATATCATTGTCATCGTGCTGCGCAGCGCCATAAGGCGAACACACTGAGAAGAAAGTTAGCGGCCACAGAGCGGAAGCTCGCCTTTTACATAACAAGCCGACCTCAACCTGTGCTACCGCGGACATGCAACTTCCGAACTGAAACGCATAAGCTGTAAGAATGTCGCGAGCGAGATTCCGGCTTTGACGCAACAACTTCCTGCATCTGCAAATTTGTTTGGAAACGTCACGCTTCAGGACCTTGAACGTGAAGACACCTCCAACGAATAGCATACGTTCTAAGAGAAGAAACGCCCTTCCTCGACGTGCTATGCCCCTGTGGGACATAGCATGCCTCAAGAGCCTGAAAGGTGAATGTGTCCCGCCAGGCAGCAGCCCCTGTCTGTTCAGTACTTGGACATGCCAAGCTCTAGGATGCTAAGCTGCGCCTGTAAGGGTCACCTAGATGAGAACAACTGTGAAGACGATAACTGCCCTCCATCCATGTAGTGACTACATACCAGGCAACCTGGACCCAACCCGAATACCCGAATTTCGTTGTTTTTTTGGGGGGGTATGGGCTTCGTGCGTGCGTGTGTGTTTTTCAATGTTCCCCGACCCCCACCCCAACTGGAAACGAAGGGCAGGTTGAGGCCTTCGGGGTGGGTTGGGGTGGCTTGGTGGGTGGTGATGTATGATGGGCCTGTTTTCCACCACCACCACCACCACCGTATGTTGGAGTGGGAGGGGGTCCTCCTCCTCCTCCTCCTCCTCCTCCTCCTCCTCCTCCTCCTCCTCCACCTCCTTCCCCCCTCCAACCTATGGTGGTGGTGGTGGAAAACAGGCCCATCAATGTAGCTGCCGGCGGGATCCGCCATCTGAAAGGGTAGGCCTCCCTCCGTGCGCCTGCTGGGTGCCGTCGCGCTGCAGCGCTACGGCGAGAACCACCCACACTCTGAAGAGCAGACGCCCCCAAAATCCGTGTTGAAGGGGCCCTGGGATACACACATAAATACACACAAATCAACGGATTCCCAATATTTTCCAATACTTTCTGGGTTTCTGTCTTCCCCCCCACTTACCATATTTTCCCATACTGTCCTGGGAGTGGACGATTAATTGTGTCTGTGTGTTTTCCCCTCCTGAAGTTTGGGACTGTGGGGTCATACGGTGTGTGAAGTGCATCAAGGGAAAGGCCACGACCACCCTTCCGAATCGTCTGCTGGCGCAGCGAGGGGGGGGCTATCTGCAGTGATGGCGGAGGAGAAGCAGGCGGGTGAGGAAGGGCAAAATGAGGAGGACATTGAGGCGAACATGAAAGTACCAAATCCCTGGTTAACGATGCCAGCTCTGAAGGGATCCACACCCCGATCCAGAAGGCAAGAGCGGGACGGCAGATCCGCGTGGACAACGGCGCATGCCGACCTGCCTCAAGCCACCCACACATTTTGCCATCCGTTCCCGCTCGCAAGACCCGCGTGATGCTGGGCAGACATCGTAGCGTCTGCTGAGATTGCGCGATGCTCTTGCGACGCCTGGAAGGCACGAGCAGCCAGCAGTGCCTGGCAAAAACTGTCAGGGGGGCGAGTTGAAACGCCGGGGCAGGGATGCGACAGGAGCCCATCGTTGGCAGTGTACCATGCCACTGCGCACGCGATCGTGCCTGCAAGCCCATCTCACCCCCTCCCACCTGCTCTGCCCCTCCACCGGAGCCCTTATATGGCCATCGCTCGGACGTCCACTCCCTGTCTTTTATCGGTTTCGTGCGTGGCTTTTTCGCAGGATGATCCAGGATGCTCCTTAATAATCCCCGCCGCGAAAAAGTGCACACGTCCGAGCGATACCAAACTATTGGCATGACGGAAACACGTCCTTGGGCAAACGGGTCCTGGACTCTGGCGCCCTCCCCCGGGGCCAACTCTTCGCCCTGAATCGTTCTGCTGACGGCCCCAGGGCCCGTGAAGGGACCCGGGAGCCCGAGCACGGTCAAACACAAATGCAGAGCCCCTTTCCCTCAGGAGCCCCTCGGGCTTCACGTGCGACCCCAGGGCCCTGCTTGGAATGGCGCGTGTGCCGTGGTTGCGTGTCGTGGCGGAGCGAGGTGGACGCCGTGCTGACAGTGCAACTCTCGCGCGCTCAACTCCTCCTCTTCCTCCTCCTCATATGAATGCTTTCTCGCCTGTCGCAGGG